ATCATTTAAAATCCTTTCCTTTCCCTGAGGAGACTGGTGAGGCCCCGCCTCCCATGCCTCTAGTGACTGCACGTCCCTGGCATATAAGCATAAAGGCGTATGTTTCTGTGAGGTTTGAATAACGTATTTTTCCTGGGGTGCTGCTTTGCAACAGGTTCATACTGGAGCTTGCTCTTTTATTTTGCTACTAAACCAACAATGCTTTTTTTATGTTATTTATATATTCAGAACCTCCAAAGGTCTACCAATGTGGTGTACCAAGCCCATCATGTTAGCAGAAACAAGAGAGGACAGGTTTTGGGCACAAAAGGTGGATTTCGTGGCTGCACAGTATGGCTAACAGGTATTGTGTTCTCTCCTAACTTAGGAAATTAATATCTGGGGAAGGTTCTTATAATTTCTATTGTAGTAGAAAAAAAAAAAATAAGGCTGCCAAATGGACCTGCAGAAATCCAGATTACTGCTAGAGGCTAATGAAAGAACTTTCTGGATCCCAGATCCAGAAATCTGCCCAGATTTAGAAGTTATAATAAGATACAGAGTTTATAAATGCATAACCTGGTAACTGTGGAATATATTGACAAATTAACAAAAGGTGGATTACGTGCAATTTATGTGATAAATTTTATTAATTGTTTAGTTCTGCAAAGTACGTGTTTAACATCTTTTAAAATATGAAATGCTATGATTTGCATTTACCCTTCCAGGAGGTATAAAATATTTTGAAAGCTTTAATAGGTCTAATGCATGTGTCATTTATTTATTTTACCAAAACGTAAAGCTGTAAAGAGATCTTAGAAAAGTGTTTCATAAAACTGAAGGACTAAAGGCATGTATATGCTTCTTCTTCTTTTTTTTTGATTAGTTAGACAACCTGGCTGTAAAGTACAAAAAAAAAAGATTAATAAGTTTTTTCATATTTTGAAATTTTATTTTATGGTATGCTTGTGGATTTAGGAAAAGCTGGGGTGAACCATCACAGTTTTAAAATTTTTTTACCTATGATTAACAGGTCTTTCTGGTGCTGGTAAGACAACCATTGGGTTTGCCCTTGAGGAATACCTCATGTCTCATGGCATCCCTTGTTATTCTCTTGATGGGGACAACATTCGTCATGGTCTCAACAAGAATCTAGGTTTCTCTGCTGATGACCGAGAAGAAAATATCCGCCGTGTTGCTGAAGTTGCCAAACTATTTGCAGATGCTGGCTTAGTCTGCATTACTAGTTTCATTTCTCCTTTTGCAAAGGTAAATCTCTCTGGAGAATTATTCTGTCCTTTAAAAAAAAATTGTTATGGGACGCAGATTTAAGATTTTACATTTCCTTGTAAAACTTTTCTTCTTTTGGGGAATGTAACATCCTTTTGTGTGCTTCTTTCTAATTATCTTCAAATCCAGCTTTCACCAGTAGGAAACTCTCCCAAAACCCTGGACTTCATCAGTTTCATTTAGCTTGCCATTAGTCAATCAATCAAAATTTTACTTGTGGGAATTGGATGCCATTTCAGTCTTTCTTTCTCTCTGTCTCAAGCCATATTTTTTTTAAAAAGTATCACTAGAATTGGAATGAAGACTCTAGGCCAGCGTTTCTCAACCTTGGCTACTTGAAGATGTCTGGACTTCTTCAAGTGGCCAAGGTTGAGAAACACTGCTATAGGCCTTGTAACCCAACCTTTATCTATTTGGACAATAAATATGGGTAAAACCTGGTATATGTGCGAGAGAGACAAAGACAGAAACAGAAAAAACTTTGATCATCCTGTTACATACCCTGTTTCCCCCAAAATAAGACATCCCTGGATAATAAATCCAATAGGGCTTTTGAGCGCATGCACTAAAATAAGCCCTCCCTCCCAAAATAAGTCCTCCCTGAAAATATTGCAACATAGCAGCAGCCATGAGGTGACCATGCTCGACACCTCCTGCAGCTGAAAAATAATAAGACCTTCCCAAAAATAAGGCCAAGTGCTTATTTCGGGGGTCAAAAGAAAATAAGATCCTGTCTTATTTGGGGGGAAACACGGTATTTCTGTATCTGTGTAGATATCTTCATATTTACACAATAGATTTAAGAAGAAGAAAGAACACTAAGGTACCTAAATGGTGCAGTGACCTAGAAGTGGAGCTCTCACCTCACAATCAGAGGGCTGTGAGTTCGATCCTAAGTAGAAGTAGCTATTTCTCTCTCTGGGCACATTGAGAACATATCTGCTGAACAAAACTTGGCATTGGCGACAGGAAGGGCATCTGGCCATTAAAACACTCTGCCAGCTCCTTTCAGTTTCCCAGACTCCACCCTGCAAGGGAGTATGGAGTCATTAAAAGATGATGAATAGTAAGATAGCTACGTTACTGATTATTACTTTGTTCCTTTTACAGGACCGTGAGAATGCACGGAACATTCATGAGACAGCCAGGCTTCCTTTCTTCGAAGTTTTTGTGGATGCACCTCTAAATATCTGTGAAAGTAGGGATGTGAAAGGCCTATACAAAAAAGCACGAGCTGGAGAAATCAAAGGTTCGATTATCTCATCCCAGCGGCAAATATGTACTATCTACATAATCGCCCTTCTTTTACACCCCTGCTCCTAAATACAAGCTTTATCTGCAAATGTCCTAGTCTAATGCACCAAAACTCTGTGAACTCTTGTATAGGTCACATCATTGGACTTGAATGATGGGATTGAGTAATGGTTATGTAACTGAGCAAGTTGGTGGAGGCTCCAACAGGTAGCTGTAAATCCATATTAGCTAGGGAAAAAATTGTTGGGAAGTACCTGATAAGATTTTGAAAGCTGTTGATGCAGAAGACAGAAGAGCCATTGTTTTTATGGGTGTCCTGTTTGATCTTTGATTTGAAGTTCGAACATATTGTCTTACACCAATGAATATCCAAGGGACACGTGGCTTAGTGGCTAAGACGCTGAGCTTGTCAATCAGAAGTTGGGTGGTTCGAGTCCCTAGCACCGCGTAACCGAGTGAGCTCCCGTTACTTGTCCCAGCTCCTGCCAATCTATCAGTTCGAAAGCATGTAAGAATAAAGTAGAAAAATAGGGACCACCTTTGGTGGGAAGGTAACAGCGTTCCGTGCACCTTTGGGGTTTAGCCATGCCGGCCACATGACCACAGAGATGTCTTCAGCAGTGGTCTTCAGCTTTTAAAGGGAGATGAGCACTGCCCCCTAAAATGAGGAACGACTAGCACATATGTGCAAGGGGAACCTTTACCTTTAATGAATATCCAACTCTAATTCCAGTGTAAAAATAGGACAAGCTGAATATATTAATAGATAGTAGAAATACACCGAAGGGAGGAGTAGATGGAAAGAAGAAAGAGGGGGAGAGAGGGTGGGAGAGAGGACTGGAGGGAGGGGGAGAAGGAAG